CTATATAATGACTCAGTATATTCCTTCCATCTTCTCTTAATACTTCCTGGATCATTCAATGTATATGAGTGAGTGAAAAACTATGTGAATGTAGGAATGTGAGAAACACAGTATAAATGAATGATGCACATTGTATATACGAAAGTTGTATGCAAACCAAATAAAGTGGAGAGAGACAAAAGATGTACTGCCTTGGGAACCCAGCAGGTGCTGGAATCCCCTGACGGCCGTGGGCATCCTCTGCTGGAGGCAGGTTGGCTGTCATTGTGACTGACAGTTGATGTCGCCTCTCAAAGCCCCTCCTGTCTATTTGTCATCACCAAGATGTGTTTGTTTCTGACAGATCAAGACCGTGATGTTTGACAAAACGGGCACCATTACCCACGGGGTCCCCAAAGTCATGCGAGTCCTCCTGCTTGTGGACGTGGCTGAGCTGCCCCTCCGGAAGGTTCTTGCTGTGGTGGGCACTGCTGAGGCCAGCAGCGAGCACCCTCTGGGCGTGGCAGTCACCAAGTACTGTAAAGAGGTATGTGGCCTCTGGCTCAGCTCTATCCCCTCCCGAACTTGGCCTTGACCTCCTCTCCTTCATTGGCCAGCAGCTTCTGAGTCAATGGCTAGAGCTGGCATGGTCTGGGTAGCCTGAGAAACACCAGGTGCCTCTGGAATGAGTGTGGTCCCAGCAGTGCCCTCAGAAGGTGGCATCGTGGGCTTCTTCACACCCTGGTGGCCATCTGCCCTTGCTGTGCTTTGGGGCCGAAAACCCTAGCAAGATATGAGCTTTGCCTCTGAGGGGAGTTCCCAACATCTGGATCCATGCACTTGTGAAAGTTCAGCCAAGGGACACAAAAATTAATCAGGCATATCGGGGAGGGGAAGACCCAGTCACCTGGGGGCGGCAGAAGTGAGTGAGCACAGGTGAGGGGTTTGAGTCTAATGTACAGGGAACCAGATATGCCCACCACTGCCCTGAGAACGTTTAAAGTGCCCAAGCAGATGCTGTCATCCATAAATATAAAAAGGTGCCATAGGTGTCTTTGTAGGAAGTTGTCACCTCTGCCCATCAGGAGCTCTCCCACGACCTCACTGATGCTCTGTCTCCCTGTGGGACAGATGCCGGCTCACACTCCTCTCTGACGTTTCCAGAGAACCCGGCTCCTCCGCAGTCATCCTGGCGTTTACTGCTTTGCTAGCCCCCATAAGGAAGCTCCCCCTTTTTCTACCACGCCTCCCCTTCTCCTGCCGGGTTCCAACACCGGCCACTTAACCTCTCACAGCTTCACTATAGCTTCCTTACCACTTCTGTGCCGTCACTTCTAGGAAGTTACATGCAAGACAAAAACCTTATCTCTTCTGTTTCACCTGCACACCCCTTTAACTGGAGGTCTTGGAGTGAATGACCTTTCTCCTGCGTTAATAACCTGTCAGGAGCTGTCCACCACGGGAGAAGGTTCAGTCCCTTTTGATTTCATAAACCTAATAGCTGTATCAGCTAGAGAGACACCATGCAAGGTTAACAGTTGATCTCTCTTCTTTCTCTTCTTCTTAATTCCTGGCTTGTGTATGTCACCTGCTGTCACCCCCACGTCTCTACTCTGCCTTTCTGTTTTCTGGTTCTCCTCTCCCCCTTCCTTCATAGGAGCTGGGAACAGAAACCTTGGGATACTGCACAGACTTCCAGGCAGTTCCAGGCTGTGGGATTGGCTGTAAAGTCAGCAATGTGGACGGCATCCTGGCTGCAAAGGAGAAGGCTGGGCACCTGAGTGGCATTGGCAGCATGCCCGCTGAGAAAGGTAGCACTGGCTTTTGTCTCTCCTGCTGGGTCTGTTGGTGGCTGGGCCTGGCTGGGTGGACGTGGAGACGAGCCAAACCACAGAGAGGCCTTCCATATGCCTGCCTGAGGTGCAGGTGCGCTCAGAGCTGATGCCCTCAGAGCTGGTGTGTCAGAGCTGTGCCCTCAGAGCTGGCGTGTCAGAGCTGTGCCCTCAGAGCTGGTGTCCTCCTGTGTGTTGGTGTGGCATGTCCTGATAACTGTTGGGAAACAATCAGCAGAGACCTCTAAAGGCAAATAGAGCACGACCCTCAGTGAGATGGTTGACAGAGTCACTGCAGCGGTGCGCTCGTGTAAAATGACGAGGACAGCACAGGGCAGAACAGGGCTCGGACCTCTTGTTCACAGGGTCACTATGAGTCATTCTCAACAGCACCTAACAGCAACGATATTAATGGTTTAACGTGCTTATCAAATCCTCACTTGTATGACATAGACCTCTTAATGCATGATTACACCCATATGTTCCATGCATTGATTGTGCCTTGCACCCCTTGGACTTTTAAGGATGGTGTTATGGGAGGTACTTATTACCAGGCAGTAAGTTTTAGAATGGTAAACGCATATTTTGCAGTTGAAAGGGTCCATGGCTTTCAGCTCTTCCCTGCAGTGGAACGGAGCCCTTTGGGGTAACCAGGGTCTTTCTTGAGCAGACGCAGTCCCCAAGACCTTCTCTGTGCTGATCGGGAACCGGGAGTGGATGAGGCGCAATGGCTTGACCATCTCCAGCGATGTCAGTGACGCCATGGCTGACCATGAAATGAAAGGACAGACGGCCGTCTTGGTGGCTATCGACGGTATTTCTCCCCGGCCTTCCTGTCTGTCAGTTTTTGTTGTCTTTATTCTGGATCCAAAAGCCTCTTCCTAGTTTCCTCTCAGGTCACAGTAGGAAGCCATCCTCCTCACACCTCTCTGCTAGGTCCATCCAAATAAGCCGCTTGAAGAAATACTGTACCCAGCAGGCAAGCCGGGTGCTGGGTGCCAGTGAGACAGAACCAACTCCTGACTGACCCTCCAGTGGGGTTCAAAGGTAGTTAGTCTCTTAGGAGAAGATTGTCCATTCTTCTTCCTCAGATCAGCTGATGGGTTCAAAACCAGGTGCCTTTGGGTTGGCAGTACAGCTCCACTTGGGTCACCAGAGCGCACCCACCAAGGTTAACAGGAAGACTCTGTCAAAGGATGCACTCCCTTGCACTTCGAGCTTTTGATTTGTGAAGTTTGTTTTGTTTTGTTTTGTTTTTCGTGGAGCCTGTGGACTCCCTGTGTCTCAGCACATAGGTTATGTCTCTGACTTTCCATCGCCGAGAGATTAGACCCATATCTGTATTATTTTGTGGTAGCAGATGTAAAATTGTATGCAAAGAAGAAACAGTGAATTCTGGTGCTGTATTGGGAATGCTTTAACCAGATAAACTGTCTCTCATTTGTTTTTCCTGCTCTCACTGCCATGGCATCAAATCACTTCTGACCCCTCGTGGCCTTCCACTGGGGTTTTGAGGCTGTAAATCTCTATGGCAGGAAACTGCCCATCTTTCTTTTGCAGCTGCGGGCACATTCAAGCTGCCGACCTTCCAGTTAGCATTGCATGTAGCTCACTATGGCACAAGGGCCCTGTCCCACTGCCATACCTTCTTCTAGATCTCCGTAAACCCTCTGCCTTGGCAGCTGGACCACCAGAGTCTTTCTCATTGATGCCTTTGACAGTCAGACACCACCCCCTACCCCAGTCTGTTCTCGTTCCCACTCCAGTTCCTGAAAGCCTGCCTGCTTCGCTGTCAAAATTCACTCAAGAAGAAGTCTACAAAATGTTTTTTGTGGAAGAGACAAAAAGGAAGGAATGATTTTCTGTTTTGGATTCTCCTCACTTTTTAAGTTAGCGTTTGTTACATTTCTCATGCTTTAGTAATAAACACACTCTTTTTATGAGCCAGGCTCTCTGATAAGTAATAGACATGCTCTGCAAAAAGTATGCTCAGAAAATTGGAAAACTATCTGCAGAAGAATTAAACAAGATCCCCACCTCACTCCATATACAAAA